TCGAGCATAGCACAGTGGCTGAAGGGCAGTGGGAGAAACACAAAATTACGGTGGGAACAAAAACAGCGCCCTTGATAGTACACATTAGGAACAAAGCGTCAGGGCGCCCGAGGTTTGTGTTGACCTCGCACGAATGGGGCGTTTTTGAGTCTATTGGAGGCGAGCGCTCAGCGTTTTCATACAATATCCTCGGGATGGGGGAGGACGTAAATCAGCATACTAAAACACATTCCGCCGAAATACCCAGTGAGATGTACCATATCTCCATTTCTCATATCCATCCAAAAACCCCATTCACGATCCCAGAAAAGCTACGGGGCTCCGTCCAAACGTCAGCGAGGGGCCTCCCGACAGGCCCTATGAGCATTGCTCTTGCCTTGCTGATTTTGTGGTTTCCGAGCGCACTCAGATCTCGAGTACTTGTGAGGAAAGGGTGAGGAATAAGGATTTTAGGAGTTTACAGTCTTGCAGAGATTTCTCGAGTTGACTCTCAAATCCTCTTTTGAAAACCGGTTGAGATATGGTGGTGGTGGTGGTGGTAGTGGTAGAAGACGTTCGGTCGCTCCCTAGTCAAATTCAGCGATCGGATCACCGGGTACTCCGGACCGTGACTTGTCTGCCCCGATCTCAACTGATCATGACATCACCGCCTTCTTGCCTCCTTTCACGCGGTAAGGACAGTCCTCGACATACCCCCAAGGCAGCATTATTCACAGTCTCATCGAGCTTTTTTTGAAGACAGCTTACATCTTTTTAGAAGTTAAAACCGGCCACCAGTATCGCCAGAAGCTTTTCTAACTTTCACCCAACGCCGCTCTCCTCACACATTTGCGCAACAAGCAACTCGCCTCTCAATTGGAAACACCCCACAACATTCCCCACAACTTAACTCGCTGCGATAGCCCTATCCTCGTATCGTCAAAAATCGATCATGGCGCCGAAGGAACTGCTCCGAGCACTCCATCGTACCATGGTGCTCAACAAAACCGACAGCTTTTCTGCGCTCAGAGGGCTCTAAATTATGCTATAATGCTCAACCTACTTGGAGCAAAGTCGACGTCGCTGCTATTCATGCTCCTCCTGCCCCAATCTGCCAACTCTGTCAGTATATATGATCTACCTCTTGTTAGCAACAGGGATCGCCATCATACCACAACTGCGAACCAGTGCAATCCCTTGAAAATAAAGTTCAAGAGACCCGCAATAGGGCACAATCACAGGTTCCATTCCATCTTGTACACGGTGACGTCCCCATCAAGATCATTATGGTACGATGTTTCAAGTAGAGGGTACTCAAGATATAACTACGATATCTTACAATGATCTATCATCCAGCGTCTCTCGTCCTCTGTAACAACCGCACTCTGTGAGCTTCCTTCCCCGCCTCCATGCTAGCTTTGAGCTTCGTACCACAAGACACCATGGCACATTGATTTTCTGTTATGTTAATCTGCGTCTCGTACGTCTTGACTCCATGTTGTTTGTATGTGGCACACTTGATCAAATCACCCAACGGAATCTCCCTACTAGTTCCCTCAGCACGATCGAGTCGTGATAGGAAGTCATCACAACAGGCACATAATCTTCCCTTGCTACTATTCACACACCATGCTCAATCAATTATATCCAGCGAAGTGATCGAAGCCCGGGGTACGGGGGGACTTTCGCGAGAGTGAATTCGGCGACTCAACAAGGAAGATCTTCGGGAGCCTTATCGTTGGGGTAATTGTCGCAGCGGCTTTACTATTCTTTTGACGCTCCTGGCGCATTAACAAAGCCATAAAATCAGTAAAGGCAGATGAAGGAGGGTGTCTAGAAAGCCGAAAGAGGCCGCTGTCCTCGTGCGAGGGGGGCAGAAGTAGGGGTTTATGGTCATCTATCAAGGGAGCAAAGTGTGAGGGTCTACTGTCATCTTCCCGGGGTACAGAATCAAAATGTTAGCTTGAGCTGCCACCGAGTTAGAAAGGGGGGTTATACAGTAGCGGGATCGTGGTCGCTACTTATATATATGTATGACATCAGGCTGGCTGGTCTTCACAGAAGTATATGTAGGATATAATGTTGCAGGCACAGCCTTGACAAGCATCATCTTTTCATACTTAGCTCGAGATGCTCCCTGGAGAAAGACAATTTCGGACGAGTTGTCCTCGGCCTAGAAAGCAGGGTGTCTTTTGTCCCATCGTACCACCATGTATTCGCCTCGTTGAATACCTTTTCAATTAACTTCCTTATTAGTCTCTACTTCAAAGTTCGACGTTGTTCGCACCACATACTCACCGAAACCCACCATGGCAGACTGGTTCTCCGTCGCGATAGCCTTCATCTCGCACGGCTTTATTGTTCGTATCAAGGCTCGTTTTCACTTCCCGTACGAGGCTTCAGGATCAAGTCACAAGGGCTTGGTGGTACCTTTCCCCGTACTACGTATTCTCGTAACTTCACTGATTACTTTCACACACGCCCAAAACTGAACAGGAGATGTATTTTCCGCTCCCCACGGACTACTCAGCATAGAATACCACCAAGAATCCGTCGCGGTTGTTCTCATATGCTTGGATCTTGTGGTTGTCTGGGTCCGGGAGTGGAAGAAAGGAAGGATTTGTTACACGGCATGGTCCACGTACTGAACGCCGGTTCAAGGATGTATATGAGTGCACGGTAGCATCTTATGTGCTCTATTGACCCCGTGGAAAGACATCGGACGAAGGTAGCCGAAACTTGAACGGGAGATCAACAAGGTTGAAAGAGGTTGCGCTCATTAATGATTAGACCCATTCTCGGGGACAGACTCTTCGGAAGGCAAGTGGGGCCATGGCTTAAGAAACAGCCAACTATGGACGTTTTGGCGGAACTTATTCACTAAGTATATATGTGTGCGTATAGTATCGAGCTAGAGTGAGCTGGACCCAGTCTCGTGAAGCCAAGCTACCAAATCAATTGATGTGATAATTTTAGACTTGGCGACAACATTAGATATACAAAGGAGGTCATCTCCGGTGTTATACATTATATCGAGCTCTATAGAAATAATTAGGGTCTTGTACAAGTTAGAACCAGTCTACAAGGTCCGTTTTAGCGATCTTCTCCCGCCCCCATATACACCCTTTTTCTACTTCCACTTTACACCCTTCCCCTCACACTTATGCGCAGTAAGCGATCTCTCACTCGAGAACACCCCAGAGCATTCCGCACAATTCCACTCGCTGCGGTATCCATGTTTCCTTACTTCATGTCGAAATCGATCGTGACGTCGTGAGAACTGTTCCGAACAGCCCATCGTACAAGGGAATGAGGCTTGGAGCTTTGGGCGATGAGTTTGCATATGCATAAGTCGTGTGTGTTCGGTTGTGAATTGTCGGGGGCAAGTAGATTCTAAACACGGGAGTGATCGTCTATTACTGTTTCGTGTCCGCTTGCCAGCTGGAGGAGCGGGATCTTTCCTTTCGGAGGAAGGCTTGGGCTCGGCCTCGGAAGAATCGGATCTCGCGGGCGACGTTAAGGCTGAGTCGAGCGTTGTGTCCGTCGGGTACGGAGGAAACAGCCCAGTGGCAAAGAGGCTGGGAGATGATATGGGCTCGGGGACCCCTGGGATGCAGGAAGTCACAGCACGAGTCTGAGTGGGCGGAGGCAAGAAAGGTAGGTTGACATAGGGGCTCTTCGTGGGTGCGAACTCTGTCTGTGTGTCGATCCAGGCAAGCAGTGAGTCGGTTTCTGAATTGAGCTCTACCGCTGTCCCTGTGGATGAAGGGGATCTGGAGGCATGGATGTCCAAGTCCGATGTTAGAGCTATCATGAAATTCACTTCAGCGTCAATCCTTTGCGAAGTAAGAACTGGGTCGCCTTACCAGACATAGGAACAGGATCTAGGTTGAACACATCTTCCCCGAACCCCATGTTTCCGATACCAGTATGCATAGTGAGGCACCAACCACCGTTATCGGCGGCAAGTTGGAAATTTACGAACGTTCCGCTGCATGATAATGATGGGTGCTGCGACGAGGAAGGTCCTGCCATATTGAAGGACAACATCGGCTCGCCATAAGAAGATGCATGTACCGAAATTTTGAGCCTCGGAAGATCTTCGATAGGAAGCGAGAACGACATCGGTGGAAAGTAGAGGCAAAAAGGAGACGGGAACTTGAATGATTCTCCGAACTTGATGAGGTATATCTACTCGGGCTGACATTTCCCGTTTTGAGGTAGACAAAACCAACGACCAACTCAAACTGGTGTATTGTGCTTCTTTGATGGGCGGCCCGCGCTTGGTGGAGGAGAGTCTATTGATAGCAGTGCGTATTTGGGCGGGATCTAACCTTTTCCCATAGTTACCCCTCGGTGAAACGGTGAAGTTGCTGACTGTGGCGTGTAATCACGATGACCGAGGTTAACCGTTATGATTTCTGTAGACGAGTGACGTTGACTCTCAACCTTCGAGAATTTGCCAAGCGGTTTTACGTTGCGCAGCCAGAATCACGTTAACGAAGGTACCGTCAGGGAAAGTGAGTAGGTCCGTGTGGGCATCATGATTGGAGGAAAACCCCTTGTCGTGTGTTTGCCGAATACCCGAGACGAAGCTCAAGCTCATCATCTTGTTCGCTGTGAAGTGGTAGTGTTTCAACCAGCTTGTAAATTGGTAAGCATCAGTGTATGTAGTTACTACCAAGAATACTTAGAACTGTACTGAGGTACACGCATCCGCCCGGACCCGCAAATCCAATATATCGGCCTAAAGCTACTCGCCCGACTCAAAGCTGGAATAAAACTCTCAGTGTCACTGGAATGTATGATTTGCAGACATGGTCAGATGGGCATCAGGAGCGTGGAAAATCTTTGATGCCCGTGGCTAGGTCGCGCCGTCGCCGAATGAATGGAGCTCTTTCACTATTCAGCTTTAATTTTATTGGTGCTGTCGGACTCAGCGGTTGTCATACTCCGATTTTTCAGGAGGATCAAAATGTAATGGGGAGGGGCGCTCTCGGTCGACCCGGACTAAAATTGAACTGCCCCAGTGAGGCTCGAACTCACGACCTTCCGATTGCCTATTGTGCACTTAGCACATTATAACAGTCGGACGCTGTAACCAACTCAGCCATGGGGCATATATTCAACACTAAAGATGGGCATTATACAGGCGCTGAACGAGGATTGAAATATTCAATGAAAAATGCGCACAGCAGCCGCAACTTGTGAAATCTCTACAAAGTAAAATCGTAGATAGGTGTATCCTTGTGTCATTAAACTGTAATATTTTTCTCAGAATTTCTGTGCCGGCGTGTTGTGGATTTAAACCTGTAAAATGTGTCCAGCTGATCTTGCCGTAGAAATGAAATGGCCCCACAGGTGTTGATTGCGACTTACCACAGACCGTCAAACGTAGTTTCATGAGCATAGAGCATCATGAGATAGGTCAAGTTAGAGGTATGTACCAATATGATGCTGGCCAATCCCCCGAGAGGTACCCATGGAAAACCTACCATTACACTTCCCGTTTAGCCCCTCTATATAATTGGCGTCCACCGGCTATTCATGTCAGCGTCCAGGACTGATGCTCTTCCCCACCCCGTTCATTATCTCTCCTGTAGGCAGCCTCTCCGGGATGGCCGCTTAGAGCGTGGAGCGTCCGCCCGTGGAGCTCGTCGATGATCTGGGGTACGAAAGCGTAGAGTCAGTACAAACCACAGCATAGTCAATTGGTTCTGAGGACCCCAAATGTGTAGACGTACTTGTATGAATGATGAGGTACTCCGCCAGGTCCCGGCAAGGACTATCACTCGACTATCATTGATTATTTGTTGATTATTTGCCTCATTTTGTGATTCCGGGGGGCGAAGCGGCTTTCTTCTTGACGGCATACAACTCACCTCGTAGCGAATGTCATTACTCGGAAGTTGTGACTGCCAAAATTTTCGACTTGGCTCCCGGCTGTTGGATTTGGCGAGCACCGCAGATAAGATGCTCCGGATAAGAACAAAGCTAGTGGGCGCCTATCTTATCTCACAGCTTGTCGTCTCACCACCACCATCTCCAACGCAACGCTGCCATGCCTTAAAGGGACCTTAAAAGAGCACAAGGAGTAATATTTTAGACGGGAATTATATGTGCGTGCCCTATACTCGACATTTCTACGGTTTCTATGCTTACAATCACGGTCGTTTCGGTCACCAAGAACCCGCATCGACAACAAAGACCGACGCAGCATCTATCTCAGAACGAGGTCAATCGCGTCCAGTAGCACCCAAATACACGTTATAGTTCCATCCTACACCCGCAAACACATTTCGTCCGACTTTAATACACCCAACATTCATCATGTCAGCACCACCACCACTTCCACCTATAAACGGCCACGGGATTGAAGGATCTGGGTCACTATCCAAAAAAAGAAATATCAAGTCGCTCCAGCTACCAACGGCAACGAGACAAGCACCTCGAGGACCCAGACCACCGCTAATCACGACGGCATCCAGCAGTCGTCTGCCCAGCATCAGCCATCCAGATAACGATGTGGATCCATTATCACCCGAGTCGAGCACGGCGCAGAGGAAGAGACTGCAGGCAGCGATCGAGGAGATGGAGAAGATGGATATGAACGACAAGACGAAGGTGAACGGTGACGGTGACGGTGCAAGCGGTACTTCGAGTAAAAGCGGGAGTCAGAATGGCTCTCACGGGAGAAGGAGAATATTAGAGTCTTTGCCGAAGCCCGAGGAGCTCAAGAACATAGCAGAATTGGGGATGGGCAATGGGGGATCCGTGATGAAGGTCGAGCATGTGCCAAGTGGAATCATTATGGCAAAGAAGGTGCGTTCTGACGCAACTCGGATTCTAACTATTCTCTAATACATTGTTAGGTCGTGCTTATAGACGCGAAACCATCAGTTAGGAAGCAAATTCTACGCGAACTCCACATCATGCACTTGTGCGATTCACCGCACATCGTTTCCTCTTACGGCGCGTTCCTCCAAGACCCGAACATTTGCATCTGCATGGAATTCATGGACAAGAAAAGCTTCGATGGGATATACAAGCGAACCGGAGCCATTGATATCGATGTAGTTGGGAAGGTAGCTGAGAGTGTGCTGAAGGGGCTGCTTTACCTTTACGATGAACACCATATCATCCACCGAGGTACGTTTTCCCCCTATTCTTCCTTTCCTACCCTTCTCTCTCCGTTTAGCCTGGCGTTGGCGTTGTCCTGGCCCCCTTCTTTTGATTGAATTCCGGCACGCCCGTCGCATCCTTCAACTCAACATCGACCCTGTACAATCTGGCACTGGCGTCGTTTACTGATGCTGTTTTTAGATATCAAACCTTCAAATATCCTCCTCAACTCGGAAGGCGATGTGAAGCTGTGCGATTTTGGTGTTTCCGGAGAACTCATCAACTCGCTTGCAAACACCTTTGTTGGAACATCGATCTACATGAGCGTACGTCCTTCTGATTTTCTTGGTCTTCGTTCCTATTCATTCCAAACATACCACGTTCATATCTGCTGTCACGATCCGGGCCCTCGCGTACTTTCAATTTTCCACGTCAAATGTCCCTTGATTTCCGTTCCTCCGTGTCGCTTCTAATCGCTTCGGGCTGACGACAGCATCTATTCTTCCCATCAGCCCGAACGAATTCAAGGCGCAGAGTATTCTATCAGATCCGACGTATGGTCTCTCGGAATAACCATCGTCGAACTCGCACACGGAAGATTCCCTTTCGCCGACTACTCCGACGATCTCAACTCTGCAATTACACCCGGCGGACTTGGGCTTCCGTTTAGCGCCAACGCGAACGGGAGCTCAAGACCTAATTCGTTGGTGATACCTTCCAGGGAGGAGAAGGAGAAGGAGTTACCGCGTGTGGATGAGGAGAAGGAGTTGCCTCCGTTACCTCCAGATGCACAACCGCCTGTACCTGCGCCTTCTTCGACGTTACCTGTTCCGAATGCAGGAGGTCAGGGATCGACTCGGCGTCGGTCGAGGGGTGTGTCGTTACATGGGGGAGCGATGACGATGAGTATACTCGAGTTGATGCATTTGATTGTTAGAGAGCCTGCGCCTCGGTTGAAGGAAGATGGAGGGTTCCCCGAGGAATCGTGTGGGTTCGTGGATGCGTGTTTGGATAAGGATTATGAGAAACGGAAGACTCCGAGGGATCTGTTGGCGTACCCTTGGTTCGGTATAGAGAGGGTGCGGCGGGTTGATATGAAAGTTTGGGCGGCAACGGTGTGATGTGGAAGGCGGGGAGGAGGGGGGCGGGTGCGGTGTGGACAATTGATTTCGAGGTTTTTTTAGGATATGAGTTTTTTTATGGTTCCGTGATGGTCTTAATGATCTATCATCTGATCCAAGTATACCACTGATCTGTACAATGTTTTACACCTCGATATATCTTATGATAGAACTCTTCTCGTCGTCCCTTCTTCATGTGCAGAGTTTGTACGGCCTTGGGTGTGGAGCGCCTGGAGATTTCACGTGAGCGTTGGGCGCCTTGAACTCGAACCACCACTGCCTCGCCGCCCATGGTTTCCTTCAGCAGACCAAGCTCTTCGTCATTATAGCGCCTACCATAATCGAAAATCATGACGACTAGATGAACAGCAGTCTCAAATCTCCAGCACATGATCTTTCACTCGAGGAAGAACGGACGCCGACACGATTTCGGATCTCGTACCCAACGAACAATCCCTGCTCTTAGAGCCTAAATCTTTTCACCATCAAACATCCTTACCGCCCCTTTGACAAAGACTCCTCGAAACCCGGATATGACGCACACTGTCGAGACATGGGTCGTTTTAGATGGCTGAGAAATAGAGCATGTCATGATCTTACTGGCGGACTATCTTACTGACAAGACCAGATTGAGCTCGTCAGGTAATTTCTTTTCGTGCTTTTGAACTCCATAAAAAGATCCGCTAGACACTTCTTTGGTATGCTCAGACTAATCCTGGACGTGAAAAACTTCCTCTCCAACCGTCGGCCGATCTATAACCGGTTGTGCGGTGCTCATACACCGGGAGAGATTACTGGCACTCCCTCTTTCGACCTTCGATCCCAGTCTCTGACATCAATCTGGGCCCGTCTTTTGCTATGGTCACAACCTGCGGATACAGTATCTCGTATAGCTATGTCAAACATCACCGAACGGCAGAGTCGAGTTTAATCGGTTGGAACTCCATTCGAAGGATAAACATTACACATTAGGAATCGATAGCTCGGGATATTCTTTACTTCTTTCCTTCCACCATTTGTCTTGGTCGGGGAATTCAACCAACACAGGTCAACTTTCCACCCTGGTCGACACAAGCTATAAGGCGCGTACGTTAGTGCTGGTCTCGGCCACGGGGGTGTTGGGACGGGACTTACTGCCAGAGATGACTTGTGAACTGTCAGATGGACCTGCGTAGTACTTGCAGCTGCTTCCAGCATGGTGGTCGCTGTTGTTAGGTGGTCCGCAAGCAGAAACTGTCGGGGACGTGAGTGAGTAATGTTCCCGAGTTGAGCATCGAGATTGCTGCGTACCTGGGTCGGTGGCGATTAAGGCAGCACCCATGGCTTGGCCGGCGAAGAGCACGGCGATGGCAGTGAAGATGGTTGTAGTTTTAAAGAACATTGTGTGTGTGATGAAAGTGGTAGAGGTGAAGTTGGTTGCTTCGGGTCTGGAGTTTTGAGGTTGGATTGGGATGGCCTTTATACCTCTCGTGGGCTGTTGAGGCGCCTTTCTGGAGTATGTTGACTCGGAAAGCTGAGAGGACGTGTCGGGAAGTGCTCCAAGTAACTCCATATTATTCGGCAAAATGAAGGTGGTATTGGAGTGTATGCGATGAGTGAGCATATTAAACAAATCACTAAAGATATATCTATATTGTATGGGTCCCCGCCGCATTGTACAGATGAGCAGTTCAAACTTTAAGCGAGCCGTTGGAGCCTCACAGGTTGAAGTAGATATCCCGCAGCATATCCATTCAACGCCTCTCTTGTAGTATTACTCCAAATAACGTCTCGAGAGATCGAACAATAGTACGCAATTACCTACCCGAACGTGTCCTTGTTATATCCAGTGAGGGAGCCGCGAAACATTCTTTGGAGACCGTTACTTTATACCTCTC